ATAATGTTGTGAAAAATAATATTAATGATAAAATACCTATGTGTATGAAATGCGAAATAAGTTATGAAAATTCAGTAATTAAATATTTTTGAGTAGTGCTTTAGAAAGAATTATTTTCTTTCATTTTTCTTTTTGTTTTTTTAAGATACACATTTCTAATAAATCGTTTTTCAAACAAAATTATATCTAGCAAGTGGCAGATTTGAAATATCCTTCACGTCCACCATTTTCGTGTCTTCCATAGCATCCAATATCGACTTTACCAGAGTTAGTATATCTCTACATATCGAACATAGTTGCATATCGATTTATCACGATAATCTGTTCATCAGATTAATGCTGAATCGTTAGCTCTTTAATCTTGCTCACTAATTTCACTATTATTAAGTTTTAATATTAAAAATTTGTTAAAGGTACTTGACACTTCTTGCTTTAAAGGGTAAGTCATTTAAAATGCTTGCTAATTACCGCTTGATTAAAGATTGTCTGGAAATTAATAGAAAATTGGACTAAAGTTTGGAATAAAAAATGTAAGATGATATACAAGATTTATACATTGTAGGATGAAAGTAATGCAATAAGATGATGTATTTTTGGATAAAGATTCAAATCATTTCCATTGATATGTATCTTTAGTAATGAAATAAGTATTAAATTTGTTTGGAGAATTTCTTCCTAAAATTTAAAAAATCATTGCAGGGAGAAGTCGATTCTCTCCCTAAAATAATACAAAGAATGTTTAGATTTGTTAAGCTTAATGATATAATTGCTAGTAATTTTCAGCAAAGAACTTTTTTTTAATGACATGAATCAAATAAGGATCACAAGATAATTTAACGTTTCATCATGATCAGAGATACTTGATATAGTGATACGAGCTGGAATCTTTTCAATTTCGTGTCATATCAGGTTTCTACGTGAATTTTACGTCAATCTGTTAAAAGCTTATGTTCATAGAACAATGCTTGCAGTAATAGAATTATATCATTGGATGTATTAGCTAAATTAAATTATCAATAATTTAGATCGTTACATGTAAGAGCTAGATCGATTAATTAATTAGCCATCGTAGTTTCTTTTTTTCTTACAGTCCAGTTTGCTGTAAACTTCCAGAGATATACTTCCATTTTGACTATTTGGTTGCTCGTTGTTCTACTTAGAGCAACTTTTAACAGGAATTATTAAGAAACAGGCAAGAATTTTTTTTTTTTTTGTTAGGTCAAATATTTATTTGGGAATAAAATCTCATTTTTAGGATATTCTATTTAGAACAGTAAATCGAATCGCTTATATTTGATTATTACCTTTTTTTTTTTTTTTTTTTTGTCGTATAATTAACAGTATCAGCAGATTACAGTATCAGCGGTTTGCTATGGTAACTTGATGTAAAATAATTCCTAGCATACTGTCACTTCTTTAGCAACTGTAGAAAGAAGTAAAACGATATTTATTTTACTACTTTTTGTTATGAAAAAATTTAAAAAAAAAGGTTTACTATAAGCGTTGCTATTGCAATTACAATCTATATGGTAGATAGTAATAATCAAATTATTGACGTAATAATAATTAAATTATCGATTACCGATGATTGCAATTAATAGTGAAATGTTAAACAAGTCACTTGTCCCAAGAAAAAAAATGCTTTAAAAAGTTTAAAAAAAAATTCTAAAATTGATAAGCTATGAGTGCGCAAAAATTTCCAATATTTGAAACAAAAAAAAAACTTGAAAACGTGAAGGAAAATGTGATTTTTCCTCTTCTTGTCAAAGCAATTTTTTTTTCTATTTTTAAATTATCAATGATAGATTAATAATATCAAAAACAAAGTAAAAATTTAAAATTTAAAGGATAAAATAAAAAATTTAATTTTGATAGAAAAAAAAAGACAAGAATATTATTGATTTATAGGTGTAGACATTTTAGCTAGAAAGAGTGAAATTTGAAATAAATAAGTTGACAAAGTTGAGGAAAGGAAATGAAAAAGCATGTACAATCAATTTGTCAAAATGTAAAATGCTCAATTATGCATAAAAAATAAATTTACATCGATGAAATATTTTTTTCATAGATATTTTGTTTAATTTCAAATGAAAAAACTTTAATTTTGCAATTAAAATTTGATTAATTGAACTATTTTAGCTTTTTTTTCTTTTTGTCCAAAAACAAATCAGTATTTGAGTTGAAATCTGAATAACATTTAATTAAAATTAAAAGATTTTAATTGCAAAAATGGATGTATTTTTTTTTTTTAGTTCTTTGTAAGAAACTGATACTATGAGTTAGTTAATTCAAATGTTGGTACTTAAATATTAATTACACTTATTTAAATTATTGTCTTACAGATAGTAAACAATTTTCATCCACTATAAACGTATTGTAGTTGGAAAAAAAAAAGAGAAAGAAGCACAAATCGATAATGAATTGAAAATGAATATTGAATGATCGAAATTAAAATTGAACATTTTCATGCAAAAGCACTAATCAATATCACAATCATTTTGTGAATTGCAAAATTTTAGTATTATTTATAATATTTTATGCTAAAAAAAAGTTAAAAATTATGAGATTCTAAAAATTATTATAATAAAAATTATTTATACCTTTTGTAAAAAAGGTATAAAAAAGTGTAATTATTTCAATAAACTTGCCAAAAATATCAAAACACCTTGATTAATCAATCAATTAATTAATTTAAAATTACAAAAATTATTTTGCAGATGGATGTATTACTTACTTATCGCAATACTTTAAAAAAGTATTATTCCAATAATTCATGAGAAATGAATAATTACATTTATTGAAATTCATAATTTTATAATACACAACAAATATTGCTATCATTTAATCATTTATTTGTTAAATTAATTTTTTTGTTTATTATTCTTGCTTTCATATCTTTCTTTTTCCTTTTAATATTGCAATACTTAGCATACGAAATAATTAAATTATATTTTAATTAGTAATTAATTAAATGACGAAATGATTATTTAAAAAGATTGAATTTATGTTGAAATTATCGTTAAATTTAAATGAAAAATTTTTCTAATTAATTTATTGAAAATTTTTTTCTTTTCCTTGTTCTCTAACAACAATTATTTATCGATAATGCTTGAAAGAAAATTCATTTATGTTAAAATCTTTTGAGTATATATTTTGTACTGAATAAAGCAATAGCAAAAAAAAAAGGAAAGTAAGAAAAGGAAAAAGAAAGGAAAGAAGAGGAAAGAAGAGGAAAGGGAAGGAAAGAAAAGGAAAAGGAAAGGTAAGGAGAGGAGGGGAAGGAAAATGTTTGCTGCAAACCTTCGATGTAATTATTATAAGTGTATAAGTGCGCATTTCTCTCCTTCAAGTAGTTCGTAAATTTAAACATTTGAAAGTATAATTTTAGAGTATAATTAGTAAAGTATAATTAGAGTTAAATAGATGGTGATGATGACGATAGAAATAAGCGCTTTTAACTTTTTTTTTTTTTGATATAAAAATGATAATTACGATAATGATAATGATATGGATAAGATCGTGATAATAAAGGATATTGATATGGGCTTTCAATTT